AATAGTAAATTAAATAAATAAATTCTCTGAAAATTATAAGTATTATACCCTTCTTGAGATTATTGACATGTCTCATATGAAAGTTGATCATCTTCAAACTTATCTCAGAGCGTTCACATATGTCACATGCATTCAAGACTTTTACTAAAAATGATTGATAGAATGGTATGGATTAAATAGTTAGCAAATTTCATGAATGGTACAATATTGTTTCATATATTGATTTTTTATCTTCTTATTTTTCTAAAAAATATTTTTGGTGGTATCAAACAATCGCATGAGTTTCAGTTTCACTTTATTAAGTCACGTGAGAATCAAAGACTAGGTCCATTTCTTCAGCTAACTGGGTTCCACTACAGAATTGTCTATAAAATTGATGGTAACATGAGGACGAAGACCTAAATAGTTGACTGTCCCTCTCATGCATTGTCCCAAAAAGTGGACCAACAACAAAAGCATTTCATCCACATACATATATTGTCAGAATAAATGCATGATAATGTGGCTCAACAACAAAAATAAATAAATTGTGCAATTTCTGGCCTTACCAATGACCATAGAATGCTTGTTTGAAAGTGCGGAGGGAGAGAGACGGACTTGTTTTGGTGGAATTTTGTCATTTTCAACAAATGCGTGGTAAGGCTATAGTCATTGGTAAGGCCAGAAATTGCACAATAGGAGCAGATGGAGGTGTTAAGTGTTGATAGTAGGGTTGCAACTTGGGTTGGCCCAACTCAGTTCAGTCCTAACCTAACTTTAATCCGAAGTGGGTTGGGTTGGTCCAACTCGAATTGTACTCAACATGGGTTATGATCATAATTCGAACCGAATATTTTTGGGCGAGTTGGGTCGGGTTGAGGTTTTTTTAATTTTTTTTTTTTAAATTTATATTATATATATATATAATATATTATTTTATATATATTATAATTATTTGATTATATTATTATAAATAAATAAAAAAAACAAAAACAAAATGTTTTTAGGGCAAATCATTTTAACCCCCTATCGCCTCCATCTCCATTCTCTCTCTCTTTCCAACTACAAATTACAAAATCTACAAGAATCAGAAGTTCAAAACCCATATATTTCAGTTTTATCTATCTGTATGCAAGAATCAAAAGTTCAAAACCCATATCGGCATATCATTTCATATTGTTCAAAAAATCAAAACCTCGGCATATCATTTCAGATTGTTCAAAAAATCAAAATCCAGATCTTTCAGTTTCCATCGCCCGCTGTTCCAGTTTGTTCAAGCTTCGCCAGATTGGTTCAAGCTTCGCCATATCATTTCAGATTTGTTCAAAAAATCAAAACCCAGATTGTTCAAGCTTCGCCCATGGACAGCGGCAAAAAGAGAAAGAGAAAGAAAAAGAAGAGAGAGGAGAGAGAAAGGAGAAAAAAATAAATAAATAAATTAAGTTCCCCTCTCAACTCTCAAGCCTCGCCCATGGCCGGCGGCAGATAGAGAAAGTAGAGAGGAGAGAGAGATAGGAGGAGGGAAAAAAAAAAAAGAAAATGGATTTTGGGTTGGGTTCGGGTTGAGCCCGAGCGCAACCTGAATTTGTCTGGGTTTTGACAAAACCCAACCCGAACATGAATCCGATTTGTGAATATAAGCCCCAATTTCAAAATTTTTGGGTTGGGCTTGGGTTGGGCTGGGTTAGCCTACCCAAGTTGCAACCCTAGTTGACAGAGGTTAAATTGATGTTCCACTTTTCAATTAAGATAATTAATTAAAAAAAAAAAAAAAAAGTGAACACTTCTTATAAGACAGACATATTAACCCAATCATTCTTCCAAATCTTACATGACATATTAACCCAATCATTCTCTCAAATCTTACATGACATATTAAAGTGTATCACTTCTTTTAAGAGTGTAGTCCAAATGTTAAAAATTGCGAAGTGCGAATATTACCATTTAAGGCTGGTGATGAAAGAGATAAGATGATAAAAATATATTTTTATTTTAAAAATTAACATTTTAATGTCCCAAGAAAAAAAGGAATAACTTATTATTAACACATGAACAATCTTACTATCGCTTTGATTTACCCATTTGGTCCTTGTATCATTTTTTTACTTTAAATTGAACAAAATGAGCTTGTCTTCCACGCATGAAAAGGGTAGCCCGAACTCTTCTTAGACATGGCCCACATGTCACATGTGGGCTATGGGAAGAGTCCTTCGTCAAGTCAACCGTTGAGTTGGTCCACCATTACATTTAAGACATGGCCCGTATCAGAAACTGTTCACAAACAATATAATCTTCTTGGAAGATACACAAAGTGTTGACTACTAAATCAATATAGACTATTATTCCTAAAAACTTGAAAATTCCTTGAAAGGCGCACAAAGTATTGACCACGAAATCAGAATTCAGAAAATGATTGACTTGATGCTCCAAAACCAAAAGCTTGGTTTGAAAAGAAGGACTTTTAAATCAGAAGAATTGCAAGGAAATGAATGTGGATTGAAATTGTAAACAAGTTGAAATTGAAAGAAAGTGACGGCAAAAGGAATGCGAAAAAATAAGGAATCTATTTAATCTAATTAATTAAGGAAGCTGAATTACACTAGGAATCTAACTAAATAGAATTTCATTTAACTAAAAGAGCATGATTAAAATTGAAATTCTAACATGGGTTTTCTTGAACGTCTCAATAAAGGTCAATCCAAGTGAACTTGATTTTCTTTTTTTCAGTTAGAGTGTTCTTATTGTTTTTTTAACAAAAAAAAAAAAGAAAAAAAACATTTATTTGAAATTTCTCAAATTGCTTTTGCACTAAAGAAAAAACTATACTGCGTTTCTTCACTCATGAAAAAGTAGAATGACACAATATAAAACATTTTAAATTTTAAGATCTGCTTGGTTCAATTTTCTAAGAAGATTTTCAAATGTCCTCAGTTTTCTAAGAACTAGAAACCAGAAACTGTACAGAAAGTTAGAAACTTGTTTAGTTGTAATTTTTTGAAAATTCATTTTAAAAACTGTCTCTTTTCGGATAATGGTCTTTTTTAATTCTCTCAAAATAATTTTCTTACTTATTGAGAACTGTTTTTCAAAATTAAACCAAGCAGGCATTTACCTTCTTGATTTACCTTGTATAGCTTTAGTTTTTTCTTTCCCTGCAATGTCAATATGTGTTTCTTCTGGTTTTACAAATTCTACTAATTGCTAGAACCTTAAAAGACGATAATTAAATTGCATGTTCTTAGTTTTTCACGCATGCTAGACTCTTACTCCAAAAGAGCAAAAGCATGAAGGTGTTGAGGTTCGCTGGTTGACCCATTCAAGTGGAGAGATTGGTCATTACTTGTTGCTATGAAGCACTAATTTTAGTGGAGGAACAGAAAATTTATCTAGTTTGCTGACATTCTCATATGTTGTTGAGTTTAATTCACTTTCATAACCATAAAGTTCCTAGAAGTAGCATGAGTTTCATTTTCACTTTATTATGTCACTTGAGAATCAAAGACTAGGTCCATTTCTTCAGCTAACTGGGTTCCACTACATAATTGTCTATAAAATTGATGGTAACATGAGGGCGAAGACCTAAATAGTTGACTGTCCCCCTCATGCATTGTCCCAAAAAGTGGACCAACAACGAAAGAATTTCATCCACATACATATATTGTCAGAATAAATGCATGATAATGTGGCTCGACAATAAAAATAAATAAATTGTGCAAATTCTGGCCTTACCAATGACTATAGAATGCTTGTTGAAAAGTGCGGTGGGAGAGAGACGGACTTCTTTCGGTGGAATTTTGTCATTTTCAACAATAAAAATGAACTTGTCTTCCACGCATGTAAAGGGTGGCCCAAACTCCTCTTAGTCTTGCAATTTCATTTAAAACATGGCCCACGCATGTAAAAGGTGGCCCAAACTCCTCTTAGTCTTGCAATTTCATTTAAAACATGGCCCACGCATGTAAAATGTGGCCCAAACTCCTCTTAGTCTTGCAATTGCATTTAAGACATGGCCTACATGTCACATGTGAACGAGTCCTTTGCCAAGTCAACCACTATAAGTTAGTCTACTCTTAATATTAGACACTGTTCACAAACAATATCGTCTTCTTAGAAGGTGCACAAAGTGTTGACCACTAAATCAGTATAGATTATTCCTAAAAAGTTGAAAATTTCTTAGAAGATGCACAAAGTGTTAACCACTAAATTGGCAAAATTTAGAAAATGATAACCAAAAGCTTGGTTTGAAGTTAGTGTACCAGACTTGAGAGAAGGACTTTTAATTAAGAAGAATTGCAAGGAAATGAATGTGGATTGAAATTGTAAGAAAGTGATTGGAAAAGGAATGTAAAGAAATAAGGAATCTATTTAATCTAATTAATTAAGGAAGCTGAATTAGACTAGGAATCTAACTAAACAGAATTTGATTAAACTAAGAGAGCATGATTTAAAAGGAAATTGAATTAGACTATGAATTTAAGAGAATTTGATTCAACTAAGAAAGCATGATTAAAATTGAAATTCTAACATGGATTTTCTTGAACTTCTCAATAAAGGTCAATTCAGGTGAACTTGATTTTCTTTTTCTCAGTAAGGGTGTTCTTATTGTTTTTACTTTTTATTTTTTAATTTTATTTGAAATTTCTCAAATTGCTTTTGCACTAAAGAAAAAACTATACTGTGTTTCACTAGTTAAAAAGTAAAATAACACAATATAAAACATTTTAAATTTTAGGATCTGCCTAGTTCAATTTTCTGAATAGATTTTTAATTTTTTTTGTTTTCTAGGAGCAGATGGAGGTGTTAAGTGTTGATCGATTACAATCACAAGGACCAGTGTATTCTACAGTATTAATATCTTGTAAATGCAAAGTCAGTATACCAATGCTAACAAGCCTCATGAACTCGAAAGCTTTTGAGTATGTTGTCAAAAGTGAGGAGAGTTTATGAAGTTCTCTTAGCGAAGTTGAAAAACGCAAATAAATAGAAAAATAAAAGGGGCGAAGTTGAAAAACGCAAAAAAATAGAAAAATAAAAGGAGATTTCAAAATGTTACACAATTATAACAGAACAACATTTCTTGAACATTTTAGTAACATCCACGCATAGAACTTGATTTTAATACAAAAACTAAAATGGATAATTTAGAAAGCAACATTACCAGTGCTAGTTGATTTGTTGTGTTTGCTAATTTCCATTCCTAGCACGTCCTTGACCACTCTTCTTCCTTCCTTTCCCAGTTTTGTGTTGTTTTCCTTCAATAATCTTTACAAACCATGTTGGTTTTTCAGCTAAGAAGGCAACACAACCCATACTCAATCCAAATATAAACCCACATCCATATCCCAGCACCACAATTTTCCGAGTAAATCCACTGGCAAAATCTGAATCAATTTCTTTATGTGGCAATGTTGATGGCTGCGGTGATTCTTCATCGTCTGCACATTTCTTTGTCAACGGCAAATCGCACAAGGCCTGGTTTCCAGAGTACGAATTGTTTTCAAATGTATCAAATTGTTGACCATGAGGTATTGGTCCAACAAGATGATTTTGCGAAAGGTTCAAGAATGAAAGAAATGTTAGGCTTGTCAGTTGCCAAGGAATCTCCCCCACTAACTGGTTTGAAGAGAGGTCCAATGATTCAAGCCCAGTCAAATTTTTCAGAGACGATGGAATATGTCCTGCAAGATTGTTGTGAGATAAGTTGAGCAATCGGAGCGAATGAAGCATTCCAATGAAGTCAGGAATCTCCCCTTGAAAATTGTTGCTCGATAAATCAATAGTTGTGAAGATGGTTAGGATTCTCGAAAGTTGAAGCTCTAGCCCTTTCACCACCACTTCAACTGAATCATGATAATAATAGTCCCCCATGTATTCACGACTCAGTTTATGTTCATCAACATTCATCATAGCTTTGAAATTCTTGAAATATTTTGCAGGCAAGGGGCCGGTGAACTCATTGTGAGAGAGGTCGATTATTCGCAACTTGGGAAAGGGCAGTTTACTGGTGGAAGTATCTATTGCACCTCCAAATCTGTTGGATCGCAGGACAAGAACCTGCAGCTCTGGAAGATCATCCATCCAATGGGGGAATGTGTCACTTATGTTGTTGTTGGATAGATCAACAACTTGCAAGTGTCTACAATTGACCAAACTTCGCGGCACCCGCCCTTCCAAGTGATTTCCACTCAAGCCGAGATTTCTCAAATTATTACACTTCGTAAATGTTGCTGGAACAGTCCCATGAAAGTGATTCATTCGCAGATCTAGCACACAGAGTTCATGGCTAAAGTTTCCCAGACATTGTGGAATCACATTGACCAAGCTGTTATTAAATAGATTAAGAACCACGAGGGAGCTCAAGTTGCAAATGGTAGGTGGAATTTCACCCGTGAATTCATTTGATTCGAGGCTTAGATAGGACAATTGAGTCAGGCGACCAACCTGAGCTGGGATTTCACCATTTAATTGGTTTTTGCTCAGATCAAAAGCAAACAGTAGTTTCAAATTCCCAATTTGAGGTGGAATTGTTCCATTAAGATAGTTGTCAAAGAGGTTCAAGGAACTGAGGTTTGTGAGATTCCAAATTGTTGGAGGAATTGTACCTAAGAGTTGGTTTGCCGAAAGGTCCAAATACTCCAATTCTTTCATGACTCCAATTTGAGGTGGAATTGTTCCATTAAGACGGTTGTGAAAGAGGTTCAAGTAACCGAGGCTTGTGAGATTCCCAATTGTTGGAGGAATTGGACCTAAGAGTTGGTTTGCCGAAAGGTCCAAATACCACAATTTTTTCAGGACTCCAATCTCAGGTGGAATTTTACCAGTGAAGGAATTGTTTTGAAGTTGTAACATTTCCAAGTCAATCCAATTGATGACAAGATAAGGTGAGATCTCGCCGGAAAGAAAATTATGGGATATGGACAATTGATATATCTTGGACAGATTGGACAGGGACAAAGGTAAGGGTCCGGTAAGTGAATTCACAGACAGATCCAAGAATGTGAGGTTTGTCAATAGGCCAATTTCAGGTGGAATTTTACCAGTGAAGGAATTGTTTTGAAGTTGTAAAATTTCCAAGTCAGTCCAATTGGTGACAAGATAAGGTGAGATCTCACCGGAAAGAAAATTATCCGATATGTACAAACTAGATATCTTGGACAGATTGGACAGGAACAAAGGTAAGGGTCCGGTAAGTGAATTCATAGATAGATCCAAGAATGTGAGGTTTGTCAATAGGCCAATTTTATGTGGAATTTTACCAGTGAAGGAATTGTTTTGAAGTTGTAAATATCGCAAGTTAGATATCTTGGACAGATTGGACAGGGACAAAGGTAAGGGTCCGACAAACTGATTGTTACCCAGACCAAGATGTTTGAGTTTCAAAAGCTTTGAAATATTTGCTGACAATAACCCTTGAAATGAATTGTCGAAGAGTATAAGATATTCAAGCTTGGCAAGATTGGTGAATACCAACTCAGGTATTAAGCCAGTGAAATGGTTGTATGACAAATAAAGCAAAGTAAGGTTGGGGCAATGGAGTATGAAATCTGGAAATTCAGAGGTAAGTTGATTGGAATCAAAGAAAAGATGAGTCAACATAGGCATGCCTGAGAATTTTGACCAATCTGGAGTTTCTAAATGGTTATTTCCAAGATCCAAGTGCCATACCTTCCGTAGATTGCTGACTTGAAATGGAATTGTACCACTGAGATTGTTGGTGTAGAAACTAAGGTTTTCAAGCTTTGTCAACAACCCAATCTCTGAAGGTATGATACCCTCAAAATTATTGTCACTCAAGTCCAAAACAACGAGCATGGAGAGATTGCCAATTGTAAATGGAATTGGCCCATTGAGTTGGTTGCCACTGAGGTTGAAATGGGTGAGATTTGGAAATGAAGTGAAATTGAATTGGGCAAGTGTTCCATTCAAATTTGAATGGAGGTTGATCTCGGATACAGTTTCAGCACTGTGACAGACAATACCAGTCCAGTTGCAATAATTTTTTAAGTCGGTGACAAACCATGAAGTGATGGAACTATTAAAAGATAACAAGCTATTCTTCCATTTTAAAAGAGCTTCTGCTTCTGTCCTTCCTGATGATATGATTGTAGATGGAAGTGAAGAGAAAACAAGAATAAGGAAAAGGAAAATGTAGTGCTTTTGAAAAACTGCCATATTTGGTTTTGTTCAAAATTTCATGTCACATTAATTTATAGGGTTGCTTACCGCGTGGAGGCACAAAGTCAAGTAAGGCAACTTCCCTCACATATACATAATTATATATTTACACATATACATATACACAGACATATCAACATAGACTAAATACACCAATAAAGCTTTGGGTACTGTAGATCATGTCAAATAATTCTCATTTTCTATAAAAATAACGTCCAACCCACGGTGGTCGTTGGAAATTATGAAAAATAGACGGACAAGTCATTATCTTGTGAAGTCATTTGAAGTCAAGTTAATACGTTAATATTCATTAACTACGTGGGCCAGCTTTTTTAAGTGTAGCCGTTCAAATTGAATTCATTTACTCGAGTAATATAGCCCTTATATAATACTTCCTCTGTCTGAAAAAAAAAAAAAAAAGAAAAAAAAAAATCGTAATTTTTGGAAACTAAGACAAAGGGAGTATTCCCTTCCATCCTATAAAAATTGTCCACTTTTTTTATTTTTAATTATTCTAAAATAATTGTTCCAATTGAAAAGTGGATGCACTATTGAATCGAGGGAGTACGTGTATACAATAACTTACATTCTAACAATGTTTGATTGGCGTACAATGTCAACATCAATATGTCCGCATGCATTGTTTTTGGCTCAAATTAGTGTCATTTGTCATTGCCTTGCAATTGCGCGAGTAAGAAGAGTTGGGACCCACCTTTTTCATGCATGAAAGGAAAGTTCATTTTGACCGATTTAATGTAGGAAAATTTTACAAGGACCCAATATGTGAACCAAAGAGAGTCTCATCGTTCATATGTCAATCTGTTAACTCCTATGTTTTATGAAATATTAAAAACATTAATTTTTTTTTTAAATATTCTTTTATATAAACAACAAATCACCTTGATTTTAATAGAGATATGTTACATACATTGGTTTTCTTTTTTCTTTTTTTTGGATTTTTCTCACCACACAAAACAGTTCCTTCAAAGGAAAAATCTGACTTACAATCTACCACTTGACAAAGCTACAATTATTTCTAAATCTTATTTTGAATGAGATGGCTCACCAAATTAATTCCTTCTCACAAGGAGATAGTGCCTAAAGTGATCAATACTACTCCAAATGAGCACAGGTCAATCTGTTTCTTGTTGTAATGTGATATGTGAATGCATTTTGAAGGAAGAAGTTTTATAATTATTCTCGTTGCTCGGTAACTTTTAAGTGCTCGATAACTTTGAAGAGGGTATTATTATATAGATAAGATCACATAGTAGTGATAATACGTCCGACATGATGACTCAGATCATTCCTATTGTCTAAGTTCAAACATTTTGGTGGACGTGATTGGTATTTGGCGTTTGCAGTTGTTGAGGCCCGTTGGAGCGTGTGGAGGCAGCGAAAGGAGAAGTTGATATTTTGGAGCTATATTAGCATTTTGTGGATATAAACATGTATGTCCAAATTCCAGAAAAAGATTAGCAAATTTAAAGATGAAACTAATATGGAAAATTATAAAAAAAATTAACATAAACTAATCAATGAATTACATAATATGAAAAATCAAGAAAAACAAAGTTTCAAAGGATTGGCTTCCAGGATGTTTACAACCCAAACTTCACAAGTCAAATACCATTCTATGGGATTTTTCACAGAAAATAGAATGGCAAGTCAATGACGTGAAGTCGTAAAAATGCTAAAACACATGATTAGTGAAGATCCTTTCTCATTTTTGGGTAAAATAATAAGAAAAAGGATTCTGAAATACATGATTAGTGAAGATCCTTTCTCATTTTTGGGAGTGTTTACATAGCTTGTTCATTTCATGTTATGGAGACAAAAATGAACTGTTTGGGAGTGTTTATATTTCCAACTCCAAGTCCATCTTCCTCTAGAAGTGAAAACTATACTCACTACTGGTGGCCAACAGCCACTAATGTGAACTGTTTGTATTGCTCAGCGCGCACGCGCGCGCACACACACACACAGCAATGTTGACATGGAATCTTACTCACATTATGGCCAATGATGAAAAGTCCACCAATCAGATTTGCCAATCCCAAAGCTACAATATTCACTGCCACAACTCAAGACAAAATCTTTTAGCAAAATGTAAACAACTTCTTGAAATCAAATGGCAGAGGAACAGTTAATATAAACAACTCAAGACAAAATCTTTTTAGCAACTTGTTTTCCAAAATGAGAAAAGCAATAGCTGTAAAACAGTATAATGTGTGAGAAACAGATGCAAATATCTCAAAATTAATATTATAATATGACAAAAATGTGCAAGTATCCTAGAAATGCTATTATCCTTACATCTAAACAAATGTGTATATATATATATTTTCATATTGATCAGAGAAGCTAGATAATTAGGAGATATTATCATGCAGGTAAATTCTAAAAATAGTCCACTAGTGTAGGTCCATAAACTGGTAGACATTTTTCCAAAAGGTGATATACCATTGTTTCAGGGTCATTGCTTGGTGGAATGGTAAAAATCTTGAGTTGACTAGTGGGAGAACCTGATTTTAAGCACGAGAGCAGCCTCTTCATGCAAAATAGTATCAAGTCTATCCCAACCTTTCCGTATTGTATCAGCATATACTCAAAAGTAAAAGTAGATCAGGTTTGAGTTCAAAGGAAGATGAGCAATTGATGAATCACGTAATGATGGCTTTGTAATACAGATATTTCATGCACATGGCATATCATTTTAATAGTTATAAAGAACTTATTTAGCTTATACAAATAACCTTAGGATTGGCATTTATACAATCTTCTACACAATTAACAACTGCTGTTTTAATTTATCAGATACTTCATCAATTATATTATTACCCATATGTTGACCATAAACATGGGCTAAACAAATAACCTCAAATGTAAAGGAAGTTGATGATCAATACACTTGGAAATAGAAAAAATTCTAGCTGATACTATATGAAACTTAGTACCTATCAAGAACTAAATCCAACTCTTATATACTGACCTTTCCTACAGTTGTGTAGACAACCAAAAAAAATAGAAGTTCTGAACACTTACATGTTGTAGCATCAGCAACAGCACCAGCACCAGCGGCAGATGACACAACACTTAAGGCTTGCAATTGATTCCACTAAACCGCCATAGACAATGCTTTTTAGGATATCAAAACCTTTTGTTTCGCTTTCAGCTGCTTTTTCTGGATGATCACGAATTTTCTGTGCGCTATAAAGCTCTCCTGGTTAGGCTTGCCCTTCTTCAAGCCTTGCCGCATCAGCTCCTGCATTATTATATTTTGGAACAACTGTCCGAGATATCAAATATATGTTAAGAAAGTCATATGAATGATGCATTAGACTAAATGGAAAATGTTTGTAATGAGAAAAAAAAAATGCAAATGAATATTAACAGAAGCCCTTAACCATTAACTTACTACATACACTAATCTCGACTGCAAATTGTAACTAATTTATACATTATAATGTAAGCATAACTTTGGAACTTCAATCAATTGGCATTATAAAACAAGGAAATTCATTGAGTCGAGGCAGAACTAAATTTCACATTGGACTGTGTTTAATTTGATATATATATGATATATATGGCTAATCCACTTCTGATTCACAAGTACCAATAAACACCAGAAAAACCCTATTGTCAAATATAAGACTAAAATGGTAATTGGAAGAGAATAGCACAACTAGACACGGTTAGCAGGATTTGCAGAGAGATTATAGTTTACAAACCTTTAGGCTGTTTGGCTTCATCATTCTTCATATCTTCAATTTCACTCTGTGGCTTTGTGGGAGGTTCGGCCCCTTTCATGGGTTTTTCATCTGCATAAGTTCCAATTTTCTATTCCGTGTACTAAAAGAAATTCTTACTAATGTTAGTGAAAGCTGCCAATGTTTAATTTCAACTCATTTTAAAAATATCCCTTTTTTTGGTATGCATCTCCAAATAATCATTTCTTAACATTTCTCACTTGAAAGACTAAAACTCATTACTTCAGAGTTTTTAACCCGTATTTTCTGTTTAATTGCATCACCTGGTTCCCCTACTACGTCGATTCTGTGATCCCCAGGTGGCACAGGTCCTTGAACTCCATTATTGCATATGTTTGGCCACTTTGATCAGGCTGTGCTGCATTCAAGGTAAGAGATGGATCTGATGCCGGGTTGTTATTTTTTCTTCCAAACACAAAAATTCCCCCCGCTTGAATTAAGAAACTAATTAAGATCATAACAGTAATGTGACCTCTGATGCTCTACAGATTTAGTAAAGAGCAGAGGAACTAGTAGTGCTTTTGCCACGCCAATGTAATCTGATAGAAGGATTTATTCCAATTCTTTAAGCTTTATCACCCTATGCCTCCCTTCACATTTATAGATGGCAAAACCTTTTATATTTATGGTAACTTGAGCAATGCAAGTCCTAGTCTTTGAACACTCAATGATTTCTTGGAGTTTAAACATGGGAAGTTAGGACTCTTTTTTACCGGAAAATCCACCAAAATAAATTCATTTCTTTTACAAGATATGTGTTATATGAACATTGAACAGAAAAAAAAACAAACAGAGAAGAGTGAGCTGGTCTACATCGAAGATGTGAATTGGCCAGAAGATGTCAGATGGTATGATAAACATTAAACACTAACCGTTGCTGCCAATAACAGTCAGGAAAATACCAAATCTTATTATGACAGGTTTTGATTTAAAATTTTCTCATTCTAAGTAAATTAAGCTTCCGCTTAAAAGTTTTGAGGCTTTGAGATTTACCTGAAAGCTTCAAACTTTGTGTCATGATCAGTGGACTAATCGCAGAGCTTGTGACATAACAAGTTTTTGGCCTACTAGCACACCTAATTAATTAAACCTTAAAATGCCCACAAATAAAGCATCGTGGTCCCTTATACAGTGACAGAATGATGATAAAAGTCGAAAACTATGCCATTACATTACCTTATTAATTTGATACTCACTCCTTGTTCAGTAATAACAAAGATGTAAAATAAAATGCAGTATATAGTATAGATA